GGCGCAACTTGTTGTGCAGCCGGGGCGGGTGGTGGGTTAGCATTTGGCATGTGACCTTGTTGGTCTTCGTACGCCTCCTGTTGGTAGGCTTCATCGTAATGGCCGTTGTATCCGTCCTGTTGCGGATACCGAGCCTGAGCCTGGTCTGTGTGACGAGGCTGTTGGGGCTGTCCTCCGTACTGATTCTGCGGTGGAGGTGGCGCTCGATTTTGTCTCGGCGCCGACGGATAAAATCCACTTGGCTGATCGTAGACTCTTCCGTACCGGTCGGGCTGTGTCCCTGAGCCGGCATCCGACTTTGTGTAGGTCGGTATGGAGGTCTCCGACCTTGCTGGTCGGAGCTATCTTCTCCATTTCTTCCGTCCTGCTGCTGGTCAGCCGTGTTGAATGACCGAGCTCGCCCGCGCTCGGAGTCGAACTGCGGGTTTTGACGGAGCAGGTTCGGATTGGAATTCGTCCGTGGTGGGCGATATGCCTCCATGCCAGGTCGTGGTGGCTGGATTGGGAGACGTTCAGCATCCGTTGTCCGATCTCCTCTGGTATTGGGTACCGGCGCGTACGTTGTTGTCCGCGTCGCGTACGAGGTGCTGGTATATGCACCGGCAGACGTCGTTGTCGCCACGTTCGTCGTTGGCACTCGTGGTGCCGCGGTCGACGTGTTGTGTTCCGGTTCCGGAGCACTCGGTATTGTTGGGGGCTGTGGGATTGTTCCCACGCTCGGGTCGGTTGTTACGACTCCGACGAAGTAGGAGGTGTTGTTCTCCTTCTTCGCCATTTCTTGGGTCGGGTTGATTCCCCACAGGATGTCACTGATTGTTCGTGACGGCTGTTGATCCTGTGCTATGGACGTCCGGTATGAAGGAGGTTCAACCCGACTTCGCTCCTGGTATGGAGGAAGCTTAACCTGGCTTTGTTCCAGGTGTGAGGAAAGTTCGACCTGGCTTTGTTCCAGGTGTTTCTTTTCCTCCCTCAGACACCGTGTTTCCGTGTCCATCTCGTCCATTTGCCGCATCATGTCTGTGAGGTTGCGGGCGGCCTGTTCGCCGAATTCGTACAGCTCGGTTTCACGAGCCTCAAGGTAAAGGATGCGGCTGTGTTGCGCCTCGTTTACCTTGTGGGCCTCGTTCAGATTGTGCTCCAGTTGTGCTCGGAGTTTCTGTTCCTCCTTGAGGACCTTGTTCAGTCCGTGGACCTGGTCGGCTAGCTGGGCGTTTGCTTCCACCAGGTCGACATCGGCTGTCCTTTGGTTAGGAAAGCCCATGTCCCGAGCATTCTCGTCAATGAACCGACGTCCCATTCTGACGAAAAGGAGTTCTATCTCCGACTCGAGTTCGTCGACTCGTTGTGTCAGTCGGTCGATCTCGTTATCGGCCTTCTTTAGCTCCACCACGTATCTATCGACTTCGTTTCGGTAGACCTCGGCTTCTTCATTGGCCGTGTTGAGTTGCTGGTGGAACGCTCCGGCTGCTTGTTCCGACTCGACCAGTGCGGTCTGAACATCGGCCAGGTCTTTCTGTGCTTCTTCGAGCGCTTTGTTCGCTCCGGTGAGTTCTCGATTTAACTCGTGGACCGCTTCCATAGATCGATCCAACATGCCCTTGAGTGTAGTGGCTTCATCGATGTCGTGCCGACACGGTTGGTCGGTACGCTTCAATATGGCGTTGAGCCGGTCGATTTCCCGTTGTTGGGTGGCGATGCCCTTGTTGGCATCAGCCATATCTCGTTCCCATTTCCTCCGTTCGAGTTTATGGGTGTCCTCCGAGTTTCGGAGGGATCCTTCTGCCGAGTCGACGATTTTGTCCGCCAAAACGATCTGTGTGATCAGTTTATGGCATCTCGCTCGGAGTAGGTCGAGATCGTTGATCTTTTCGGGCGGTGTTGCCGCGATCCACTTCTTGGCCGTGTATTCGAGTGCGCTGGCCTGGTAGCCAAGGCTCTCCTTATCGGACTTAGGTGGTGTTGTGAAGAATCCGTCCGCACTACTCGGTCTTGATGCATTTGTCGCCTCAAAGACTTCGTTCGTCGGTGACGGAGTACTGCCGAGTTCGCCCGTTTCGAACATCGGTGGTGACGATCTAAGTGTCTGGTCGACAGGTCGACTTTGTGTCGCCTTAGTCGACTTCACCGTTTGTTGAGCTTCGGTTGCTCGAGTCGAGTCGCTTCCGGTTGGCGAAGGTCGGCTCAACGGTGAAATTATCCGTTCGTTGGGTGCCGGCATGTTAGTCGGCGATCCGGCTGGATGAGGACCGCTTCGTGGCGGTGCCTCGGAATCTTTGGTTCCTGCCGGTGATTTAGTTGGCTGGACGGCCGCATCCGACTTTGTGTCGGTTGGTTGCCGTTCCAGGCTAGTCGGTTGCTTGTTACCGACTTCCTTTTCTCCGACCTCTGTGGTCGGCGTCTGTTGACCGACCTTGGAGTTTGGCGAAATCCTTCCGACCTGTGTGATCGGTTGGATGTTGCCGACTTCTGTTGTCGGTTTCTCCATTCCGTTCGAGGTCGGTTGTCCGACCTCTTTCGTTAGTGGTAGGTCGACCTTCGGTTGGTCGACTTCGTTTACTGAGGGCTGGTCGACCATTTGTTGGTCGGCTTCCCTAGTCGGTGATTGTTTACCGACTTCTTTGATCGGAGATTTTCGCTCGACCTGTGTGGTCGGCGATTTCCGTCCGACTTGGTTAGTCGGTATGTCCATGTTGGACGAGGTCGGCTTCGGCGCTTCTTCCGTCCTGTTGGGTGATTGCCGTCCGAGCTCGGTGGCTTTTGTAGCCGTTACCGAGTCTGGAGCTCCGTGTGAGCTCGACTGTTGGTCGGCATGAGACAATGTGGTCTCTGCCTGCAGCTGTTCCACATCCCCCCGGTCGGGTGGGACGGGGCTGCTACGTCAGCTGGGGCTTCCAGGAATGTTTTATCCCTGGCGTCCTCAAAACTGTCATCCGAAGTTGGATTCGAGTCGGCAAGGAGGATGCGTTCGTTGCGTCTCTCCTTTGCCTCGGCCGACTTAGTCGAGTCGGTTGAGGACGGTTGACTTTGTCCTGACCGGCGTACCGGAGTGAGTACTTCCCGGTCATGTTCGCACGCCGAGAATAGTCGGTGTTGAACTTTCTCGCGTACTGATCTTCTCGAGGATTCGACATTGTTGTCAAGTCAGGTCGGCTCTGGTGGAGCCTTACGAATTTTATTGGTTAGAAAGGAAAAGTCGAACAATCTTCTGTGTGAAGATGTTCGGTGAAGTCAGGATCGTCTTTTTGTTCAGGAACTTCCGAGGGTCGGGAACGTCCGGTGAGATGTTGTTGTTGTTGTTGATGTGTCTGTTGGTGACTCAGTACACAGGGTATTAGTATACAGTACAATGGTACAGTACAGTACGTTATAGTAGTACAGTATAGTACGTCCTATATTACTGTGCTGACCAGTGTGACGTAACAGGTTAAGTGGTCTTGCACTTCTGCCTACGTCACAGAATGCGAGCCGCGTGCAAAATTTGCAAAAAACGATGAATCACGCCTATGTTAAGCTATGGGAACTTTCCCTGCACGCTGATTGGCTGCCTCTTAAGTACTGATAAACGGTCGTTATGACGTCACAAGGAAGTTCGAGAATTTTCGCGCTATTTCCCGTTAGAAAAACAAATTATTTTAGGTCGGCTAGAAAGTTTATCTAGTCGGATTTTGAAGTTTTTAACCGTTAGGAATTAGTTTTATTAATTAAGAAAATTTTCTGGTGGTCAAAACACCGTTAGAAATTAAAATGAAGAGAATTTCCGACCTGTTGCCGGTTAGCCTTTGTCTAACTGTCTAGACAGGTTCGTTGACCTAGCAGGTCGGTTCTCGACCAAAAGCAAAATTCCGAGTCGGTTTCTCCGTCAGAAATTACTTTTTAACCGATGAAAATTTTAAACTTACGGCTAGAAATAGTTTTCTACCGTTAGAAAGTAAAAAGCCGACCTAGTTGCGGCTAAAATCGACCTATAACCGTGACTTTACCAGTGTCGGTGTCGGTGTCGGTTCCGGTCGTTTTCCTCCGTCCGAGGTCGGAAATCCGTCGTTTCCGAGTTGAAAATCGCCGTTAAAGTTGCGGGTCGCTGTTCAAAGCGAAGGTCCCCGTATTATAGGATTAATCCGTTCGCGCTGCAGACTCTCGTTCGAGTCTGGTCCGTCAGTTGGGAGTGTGCTCTTCGATGTGGAAGAGGCCGAGAAAACTGTGCTCACCAGCTGGGTGAGAATCACTTCAGTGATCCTCGTTGTTCCTCAGCTGTAAGACGATGCGACCGTTCTGATCGAAGTCAAGGCAGAGATTGCTTCAGCAATCTATCTGACAGTGACTTTCGGGTTCTTCACGAGTTCTCCGTAATTTGAGCCTTCACCGTCTCCTCAAAGATTCCGTGGGAAAGAAAACCAGACGATCTGCTTACCATGTAACAGGCAAGCGCGAGGAGATCACGAGTGTGCTTTATTGACAAATAAAGGGAACAATGCTGCGTAATAGCAGGGAAAGCAAAACAAAGCACTGATGGCTAAGCAAGCAAGTGAATGCTAGAAAAGCTCTTGAGCGTTCGTCAAGGCGTGAAAGAAGCAACTGGCGGCAAGCACGTGCTGTGTGCCATCAGCTGTGTGATGATGCGCAGACTGGACTCAATCCAACGCGAGCGTACGCTGAGTCATACAGCGAGAGAGGGACGAGAGAGCAAGTATGCTCAGTGTGTGCGCCGCATATATCCGCTTCAGCGGATATGAGTGCAGTGCAGCAGCACACGTACGTACAGCGAGAGAGGCGATATGGCAAGCATGAGTGCAGTACGTCCATGGTGGGCCGTATGCACCAGGCGCAGTCATGTGCCTCTGACAGGGCTGGCAGCACTTCCATTTGGATATTTTTTTGGATCTGTGGCAAGTTCCTCCACATCTTTTGCCACACATAACGCAATTGTTCCCGATAATCGGCACCCATAACAAGGTAAATCACCTGCAGCAGCGAAAGTAACACAATATGTTATGGGGGCCGGTTCATTTTCCAGTGGGTTCGTTTTCTCTGCGTAATTTTGGCGCTACTGCAACTGCTCTTACCGGATTCATCGCATAACCCATGACCTGCACGTTTCCCAGAACCAGTGGTACCACTGGGCCTTTGGCAAGGTTCGGTGCCATCGCCAGAACAATCGGCCACATTAAATAGCACGCAAGATTAAAAAGAAAGGCCACGAAAACCATATTGGCTTTTCGCAGTTTCCGCCTCTTGTGCTCCTCGCTTCTGTCCGGCACTAGTCCTCTTCTCCGCTTGAGGTAGTCGGCTAACATCTTTCTGTACACCAGAATATAACAGGCGGTCCCCGCGGCCAGCGGGAGGTAGTACCCGGCAGTCATGGTCAACTGGCCGAAAGCATCTTTTGGCAGCAGCCCACACTTTCCCATGGGAAGCGCCGGGTAATCCACACCCATACTGAAGCAGCCTAGTGACGCAAGACAAGTTGAACATATCCAGATGACGGCCAGAGTTGCATTCTGCCGGCGCCCACTGGAGAAGGCGCGGTACTTGAAGGGCAGGCAGAGCGCCACCATGCGGTTGCCGGCAATGTAGGTCTCGATCCAGTTGCTGCTGTAGCGGCAGCTCATTTGGATCCACATGGTAATGCTGCAGTACAACGGATTTGTTGTCCAGTGATTGACGACTTTCCCGTAAGTCGACAGTGCTCCCATCGGATAGCAGATCAAGCACAGCGCTGTGTGGGCGATTAGGCAGTGGCCAATTAACAGGCCGCATCCGGTACGCAAACGCCGACTAGCCAGAATCAAACAAGCCATCACGATATTCAGCACCGCGCCGCTGTATGACTGCAGGAACACTGTTATTGCCCATGCGATTACCGTGTCGGCCGATATCTCTAATAAAACCCTGGTTTTGTTGACAAGCAGCAGATCTGTGCCGTTTGTGGAGGTATTCATGATGAACACTTTGGCGGTTGTCATGAAATTGCAATGCCGAATAGTGCTCTGGAAGATTCATTGCCGCGCACTTCGTCTCAATGATTTCAGAGAATGTTATGAAGAAACCGAGTTCCGTTAAATCAGTGTATTGATCGCACGTGCATAATAATTACGACTCGGAATTAGTGACATATGCAGTATAAGCTGCTGGATGTGCAGGATATCATGTTCAGCATATCCAAGAAGCTAACCTTACGGAAATTTAATGCGGCGGTTTCCCAGACAAGAGATCAATGACTGCAAAACGGCAGCGCCAGCCATTCGCTGAATTCCGCTCAGAATCCCTAAATGCGGATTATACGTTACTGGTCTGGGGTTTGGACATTCGTTCATGCTATCTCCTAGTTTTCTTTATAACCACGTTATTTATCGGATCGGACGTGGGTCAAAGATTTGCCAGCAAGGTAGGTCTCGATCTATTTGCTGCTGAAACGGTAGTTCATTGGGATACACATGGTGACGCTTCAGTACAACGGATTCGTTGCTCACTGATTGACCGCTTTCCCGTAAACCGCCGGGGATTTCACCGGACAGCAAAACGCAAACAGCATTGTGTGGGTAGATTAAATTTTAAGAGTGCCCAGTAACAGGCCGCACACCTGAGCAAATGCCGATCCTCCTATACGAAACATGCCATTAAAACGTAGAGTACCGCGCTGCATAGCTGTGCAGAAAAACTGACGTTGCCCATTCGACTCTAGTGGAGACCGAAATTTGGAAAGGCATGGGTTTTGTTGAAAACATTGCTTTGTGTCGTTGGCGGAGATGTTGACGACATTTTGGATGATGTCATAAGATATGGGAAGTGCCAGCAGTTTTCAGGATGAATTTTATCTCGACATCTGTAGAAATTACTGTGGAGAAATGAAACACGCCCACAGGAATGTAATTATCGGACGTCCGGTATTCATGGAACAGAACATCATTTGGATCGAATAACGAAATAACAATGGTGTTAACTGTGTAATCCTAGCTGGATAAGCAGACTTCTGCTGAACCAGCAAGGTAACGGTAATGGACATAATGCGGAGCTGTGTACTCGTAGTTGTCCGCACTGGTGTTCAGCTACTTACGGCGAGAATCGCAGCACCCCTTCATCGAATTCCGCTTAGCCGGCTTAGGAGCTCCCCCGGCGGATATACTAACACCTCACAGATACGCGTAATTTCAAAAATCAAAAATACACTATTGCCTACCAACGGCGTTCTGGTAAAGTATCTGCATACTATTAATTGTCTTCGAAAACGGTACACAGACCGATCTCAATAGAAACACACCAGAAATAACACTAGATTTCTTTTGTTGGCTACATGCTTTTGCGGGTAGTTAACTGACATAACCTGCATAGAGTTCTGTCAAAGCTTGTAGCATGAGTTTAGAGCCAAGAACGGCATTATTGCTATGCGGATTTCGTTTGAATTTATTACCCTGGCAGGTTAGATATTACGTCACCTAAGATCATCCAAATCAAAATATGGTGATGAGGTGCCAGAACGTGGAGCGAGGTGGTGGCAAAAGCCATTCTTTTTATATTTTGTATGTTTTGGAATTATCTCGAATTTTAGTCAAAAGCTTTGAGACGAGAAGTGATAGTATGGCACCTAATTTTTTGGAACGTACAGGGGTTTGCTGCTTGCAGCGGCAACGGTTATGTCGTTTTCGACTGGGAGCTCTCCCTCGATTATTAAAACTTTGGTTTTTTTTCAGTATAAGCGCTATCCAAGCATCGGAAGCAAAATAGTGCTACTAAGATGATTTGCAAACGAACAAAAAGTGAACAAACTATCCGCTTTATAACGTACCGGGTGGAAATGCGGGCAACTATAGAAAATCGACATGATTAACCCTGTTGCACCGCACATAAGCCACTTGCTGCCATCGTACGCAAGCGAATAAAATTAATCAGAAACTTAAAGTAAAGTGTATTGCACTCTTGCTGTCTCGATCTTTCGGAAAATAGGTTTGCTTCTCGAAATAACTTGGGTAGAATGTCAATCTGGAAAATATTTCTTTGAGTTCTTCAGTTCATACTCCCATTCAGACTTCCCGACGGCGTTGACATATGCTGCCGTATCGATGGCATGATTGGTCGCAAGGTAATAGCGGACGTAATTTGGGTTGGCAACACTTGCGTGCGGACATTTCTTTGGATCAGCGGCATGGTATTCCATACTTTCCGGCACACATACCGCAGTTGCTCCCGGTAAGCGGCACCCATAACAAGATAAATCACCTACAGCAGCAGAATTAACACATTACGTTAGCAACTGATGTTTTTCCAACGGACTCTGTTTCTGTAACTTTGTTCGCCGGCTTCCACAACTGTACTTACCGGATTCGTAGTATAACCCAGGACCTGCACGTTTCCCAAAACCAGTGGTATAAGCGGGCCTTGAACAAGGTACGGTGCCGCCGCCAGAACAATCGGCCACATTAAATAGCACGCGAGATTAAACAGAAAAGCCACGCAAACCATATTGGCTTTCCGCAGTTTCCGTCTCTTATGCTCCTCGCTTCTATCCGATGCTAGTCCTCTTCTCCGCTTGAGGTAATCGACCAACATCTTCGTGTATACCAGAATGTAACAGACGGTCCCTGCGGACAGCGGGAGGTAGTAGCCGGCAGCAATCGTCAACTGGCCGAAACGATCTTTTGGCAGCAGCCCACAAACGCCTATGGGCAGCAGCGGATAACGCAGGCCTATATTGAAGCAGCCTAGTGATGCAAGACTCATTGCGCAAATCCAGATGACTGCCATCGTCAAATTCTGCCGGCGACTACTGGAGAAGGCGTGATACTTGAAGGGCAGGCAGAGCGCCACCACGCGGTTGCTGGCAGTGTACGCTTCGATCAAGTTGCTACTGAAACGGCAGCTCATCTGGATCCACATGGTGACGCTGCAGTACACCGGATCCGTCGTCCACTGGTTTAACAGTTTCCCGTAAATCGCCACGGCGCTCAGCGGGTAAGAGATCAAACACAATCCCGTATGGGCGACTAAACAGTGCCCGATTAGGAGGCCGCAGCCCCTGCGCAGGTGCCGGTTGCCCAGAATCAAACAAGCCACCACGATATTCAGAGCCGCACCGCTGTAGGACTGCAAGAAAATTGTTATTGCCCACGCGATTCCCGCGGCGGCCGATATCGGGGCAGAAACCGTAGTTTTATTGACAAGCAGCAGTTCTGTGCCGTTTGTGGAGGTATTCATGGTGAAAATCTTGGCGGCTGTCATAAAAGTTGTAATGCAAACTGTAGACAATGTTCAGGAAGAACGAAGAAACATCTTAGTGTAATTCGTCTCAGTAAGTTCTGAAAATTTATAAGAAGCCAATTCCGTTGAGGCAGTGTAAATATGGCACGTGCGTAGTCATTAAATACGACTTCGAAATTATAACATGCATAATAACCTGCTGGAAGTATATGACATCATATTCTGCGTACCCAACAAGCTCACATTACGGAAATTAACTGCGGCGGTTTTCCCAGACTAGTGACCAATAACTGCAACTCATATCGAATGCCGTTCAGAAACCCGAACGGCGGAATTAATACACTGGTACAAAGTAACTGGGGAAGTAATTATTGTCCTCGACTCCACGTACACCGTTATGGATGTTCTTGAGTATAAGATGCCGGTTGAATTACGTAACCCGTAAAATCAGTACTGAGTTGGTACTATTCTTAGGTAGCTCACATGCGATGCCTAAACAACTATACTACCTAAGAAAACGTACGCTGGAGTGCACTGGCGACCAGAGGGAAAAGCAAACGAAATTTTCGTACATAATGTATCCTCTGTCAGTGTTTCATGTACTGTATCCTTTTGTGCTTAAACGGCAAACATGGATTGTCGTGTTCTAATTCGATTTCGGTTACTGAAATCAGCTGTAAAATTACATCCGAGGGTCGTGTTTTCCCTCACGGACAAATTATACAACACCACCACGGATTTTCGGTGCCAATTTTTAAATTTAAAAAAGGCTCAACATGATGTTCAATAAGACGAGTCAGTATAACCATGAAAAGATTGATTTTTGGTACATCGGCAAAAGTTTTCAGAGAATTCATATGAGATTAGAGATTCTCAATAGTCGATATTGATTCTTCTTCGAGTCGAGCGCCGGCAGAAATAACTCTTTTGCCGAAACATCGACCCTGAAATTAATTTCTTAGATTGCCCGGTCCAGGCTCCCCTTTAGGCTTCCCGACTTCATGGAAGTCTGCTGACGTGCCGAAGCCATTATTTGTTGCAGGCTGTTCGCAGCGGCATCATGTTTTGGGTGCACTTGCATGCGAATTGGTATATTGATTGGCGGCAGGCCCTTCCACATTTTCCTCCAAACATAAACCAGTTGCCACCGATACTCCGAGCCCATGACGAGGAAAACCACCTGAAACATTTTTTAACATTTTTGTCAGCTCGACCTGGTGCAATCTCGCTAGCTCCCGTTTCAACAGCGGCTCTTACCGGATCGGTGGTGTAGCCAAAAATTTGAACGTTTCCGAAAACCAGCGGCACCAGCGTGCCGTTAATCAAGTACGGAGCCGCTGTTAGAACGACCGGCCACATCAGATAGCACAGAAGATTAAATAGAAACGCCACAAAAACCATATTGGCTTTCTGCAGTTTCCGCTGTCTGGTTCTATCGACCCTGTCTACTCGTCCCGTCAGTCTTCTGTATTTGAGGTTTTCGGTCAGAATCCTTATATACACGAGAGCGTAGCCGGCAGCTGCCGCCGCCAACGGGAGATAATAACCGGCTACAATTGTCAACAAGCCGTAAACATCATTTTGCAGCATTCCACACACTCCAATGGGCAGCACCGGATAGTGCACCCCTAGCTTAAAACAGCCTAATGACGCCAGACACGTCGAACTGCTCCAGATTAGCGCCAAGGTGACATTTTGCCGACGACTGCTGGAGAAGGCGCTATATTTGAAGGGCAGACAGAGCGCTACCACGCGGTTGCCGGCAATGTAG